TGGTCCACTTAAGCAGTTATGGTGTCTCAGACCTCTTTGTGTTCAGACTGTTGCTTTTTGGATCTAGTCCAGTTAAGTGTTTGATGGCTGACATTATGGCCTCCGAAACTGGAATATTTTTTATCTTTTGCACAAAAATATAAGTTTCGTACACCTTTGTAATATTTATTTTGAATAGTTTTCCTTGTCTATGTAATCATGTTTAGTTTATAGCTTTTTAAGCTCAAATTTAAGATTTTTTAAGACCTGCACTGCACAGATAAAATTTATGCCATATGAGTGGGGTGGGGCAATGTTTTAAAATGACTGTAAAAAGCATGATTTACAGTTCAGATACAGGTTTTCACAAAAAATATTTTAAAAAATTCAAATTTCAGCCTTTCAAATTTCAAACCATTTTTAAGAAAAGAGTCAAAAATCAAATGTATCAATTATTATATTAATGGTTTAATGGCTGGTTTAATATCAATTATTTTAAACCAGCAGAAGGGCTGTTAAAAAAATGCAAATTCATTCTCTGCCAGCATGTGGCGCTTTCAGAACTGCATAAAGATATACTTTGAAAGGTGCAGCGCTCATATTTATCCAATGAAATCATGCCTTTTTAATTTAAATCATTGCATTAAGCTATATGACAATTGTCTTTCCGTCCCCCTTGTACTTTTTATGGCCTTAAATTTGATACAATTAAATTTAAGACTTTTTAAGGACCAGCGGAAAAGGCATGCTGACATTGAGATAGAAAAAAAATTAAATTGGACAAATAAAATAAAATAAAATATAATAAACTGCTTTAAATTTTTCAGGTACAGTACAGGTATCCTTAAATGCAAACCATTTTTAAGAAAAGAGTCAAAAATCAAATGTATCAATTATTATATTAATGGTTTAATGGCTGGTTTAATATCAATTATTATTTTAAACCAGCAGAAGGGCTGTTAAAAAATGCAAATTCATTCTCTGCCAGCAGGTGGTGCTTTCAGAACTGCATAAAGATAAACTTTGAAACTGCAGCGCTCATATTTATCTAATGAAATCATAGCCTTTTTCATTTTAATCATCACATTAAGCTATATGGCAATTGTCTTTCCGTCCCCATTGTACTTTTTATGGCCTTAAATTTGATACAATTAAATTTAAGACTTTTTAAGGACCAGCGGAAAAGGCATGCTGACATTGAGATAGAAAAAAAATTAAATTGGACAAATAAAATAAAATAAAATATAATAAACTGCTTTACATTTTTCAAGTACAGTACAGGTATCCTTAAATACAGCATTTCAGTAAGAAATGTAGGCTACTAATCAGATGAAAAAAAATTTAAATGCATATTAGCCTATTAATCGTATGAGTAATAGGCTATATTCTACTGATTCTCATATTAGGCTGCTGTACTAGCATACTGCACAGATAAGTTACATGCGATTTCTTTCCCAGATGTTTACATTCGACTGAGACAAAACCAACTGTGTTTATGTGAACCATGGGTGTTTTTGACAGTTGAAACAATAAACGCTAAAGAGAGTAGGCTATAGTTTAGCCCCTGCTGGGATGTGCGCGCTCGTAGCCTAGGCCTATATCAAAAAGTTTAAAGGGGTCATATGATGCTGCTAAAAAGAACATTATTTGGTGTATTTGGTGTAATGAAATGCAAGGCGCACAGCCGTATCACTCTTACACAGTTTGGAAGCGGTTGAAATTAAAATAAACGATTGTACGTTGTGAGCGAACAATTTGTAGAGATCTGCCAGAAGAAGCAGCCACTATGAACAGCTGATTTGTACGGAAACATCTGATGGCCAAACTACATTGGAATTCTCAAATGGAAAAATCAAGTGAGCCCGGGCCGATTTGTGTTCACAATGCACGTTTTTAGCGAACCGAGCCTTTGGCTGAAAGCGAACCGTACTCAGACCACCTCCCGAGATGGTCTCGGTTCGGTTCGCTTAGAGGGGTCTGAGATTGTTTGGAGTGTTCACATATGGGCCAAAAATCACGCGAACCGCGCTCAGACCCCTGAAAAGGACCAAAACACCCTTGTATACCAGTTTAGTATAGGCCTACCACAAGTAGCCTACAATTGCAGAGTAGCCTATTTTTATTAAGCACATACATATGTAAATGTATATGTAGTAGGCCTATACTTAGCATGAAATAAATGTATTTCAAATACATTTTAGTATATTTATTTATCACTACGGTAGATACGGTAGATGTTGCTTAAGTGTCTTTAAATTCTGCCGTTTGTGATTTTGCCAAGTCAGACATGTTCCTGGAACAACATTACTGTCCAAAAACATAGACCTAACCATATCCCTACATCTAAACCTAACCCTACCCATAATTTATCCCACAAATCAGAGGGAAATGATAACTGAATAAGAGTTCAGAAGCACCTAACCCTTGTTGTAAGCCTAAAACAGACATTTCCTGTAAATTATCTCTCAATTCTGATTGGTTGATTGGGATGTTGTTCCAGGAACATGTTACTTGGTGAAATCACGTTCACACACACACTATAACGGAAAGACCCACTTGTTGATGTGGAGATGCTGGTACCAGTCGTTGACGCGTTTCTGCAGTTCTTTGCTGATGCGCCGGCTACGCAGGTAACCCTTCACCAGCTCGTGATTGGGAAAAAACACGTTGTCACGATCACGCAAGCTTGAGATCACGTCCCCCATGCTCCCCACGACAGAAGCAAATACCAGCACGGCGATCAACATGTCTGCGACCAAAAACAGATACTCTTCTTCGCGTTCGGGCGGCGGAGTGTCACCCACTGTGGTGAGGATGAGAGTGGAAAACCAGAAGCAGTAGAAGTACTGGCGTCTCGTGGTAGCAAAGTCCGGGTCGGAGATGTTGGGATAGACCCAGGGATCCGCACCGAAGCCTATGTAATTAGACAGAGAGAAGTAGACGCAAGCGTTCCAGTGGATGAGCACGAAAATATACAGCATGAGTTTGGCGACGCGAAAGGTGTTTGGATAGGATGTGCGCGTTTCCATACGGTCCAGGGCCTCGTTCATACGGCCCGTTCGCAGGAAGCGGTTGACCCGAACTAGAGGTGTGTGGATCCCCAGTTTCAGGTAGAGTAGATCAGTGGGCAACAGGGAGGCAATGTCCCACTTGAAGCGAGAGGAGCGCATGTAACGCTTTTTTAAAAGGGACAAGTCTCGCACCAGGATACCCTGCTCCAGAAAACCTGTAAAATAGAAAAACCTTTTATGAAATTATGTCTTGAGGTTTTCCAGTGGCGAACTGAGGAATCACAAATGGTGCCTCAAGTTCCTTTTCATTTGTACAGTGACAAAAAAAGTGAAGTCATTCTATATTTGAAGCAAAGTTGAAAATTAAATAAGTACATTCAGACTAATAGGAAGGCTAAACAAACAAATAAAGCAACAAGATGCACACTTACCTGTGCGAAACCCAATAACTGTGTCAAGCACATAGAACAAATCACAGATATAATCCAAGGTGAGCCATGTTGCCACAAACTTCTCCTCAATTGCATAGAAGCATGTCCTTTGAACAATACACAGATATTTGAACAAGTTCTCATGTGAAGGTCTACCTGTAGTGACTTACTGTAGCAAATGAACTGTTAGGACTTGAAATCCAAAATAGGCCTATATCTGGACATTTGATATAATTTTAAGAACTAAAATGTTAGTGTCTTTGTTAATGTTCTCATTTCAGTTACAAAATTGTTCTAAAATGCTGTAAAAAAAATAAATAAAAGTGATTTATTAAAACATATAGGCCTACATATGTAGTTCAACACCAATCAGTAAAACCTCAGTGTTTTACCTGAATATTATGATGACCCAATTGTAGCAGATAGGGAGTATCATAATTTGTAACCATGTATAATAAAACTCTTCAGATGGATCAGTTATCCATTCCTTCCAGCTGAAAGATTACAACATTTTGTGTTAGTGTTTTTGTATAGTGTACCTTTTTATCCAAACCCCTTAAAATGGCAAAGAACTGTATTTGTGTGTATGTGTGTGTATTTGGAGCATTGTTGTCAAACTTAAACTTCATAGAATTTTTACATTATAATGTTACAGTAACAAATTTGACAACTAAACATTTGAACTAAAACTCACTTTAATTTTGTAGTCTCTTCTTTCTTCTTCTCTTTTGGTTCTTGTTCCTTATTCTCTTCCTCTTCACCATTCTTGTTCATGCGTTGCCATGTGAAAAGCCTTGCCCAGCGATTTGTGTTCATATTTAGTATTTACAAAGAAAATACGAAGCTAAGTAAGTTTATAACAACATTACAAGACAGATGAAGAAAACGCAACCATTGTTTGACCACTTAGCTGTGTCATCATAACAACAAGCAGCCCCACCCATATAACACAGGTACTATGTGATGCTTATTGCCATGACACCATTTCTCTAGGGGAACAGGTAAGCAGTTTCCTCCTGGCTCAGCAATCTGTGTGAACCAATCAGATTTCTGCAAACTCTGTGGGGTAGCTGAGCAAAGGTAACTGAAATGGAAAATAGTTTTAATGATCCATCAAGTGTCTAAAACCTGAATCAGTTGGCTTACAAACTCAAAAAATAGCTCTATTATGTTTGAATACTATAATATGTGCAGTATAATAGTAAGCATAGTATGTACTTTATTATCAATGTATTTTGAAAATGAAATCTTTGTTTTATGATTTTAACTGTATCAGGCAGGAAAAAACATCATATTACCACTTGGTGGCAGCATTTAAACCACAGTTTTTTTTTGTTCTGTGCAGCGGTGGACGCATTTTACCCATCATGTGGCCAACTCATGAATATTAATTACGCACCGTGTCTGGTCGCCCCTTAAAGGTTACAAACCAACGCAACGTCATCGCAATCTAATAAACATTCATACGCCACTTCATCAATTCTACAATTTCCCCGGCGGTGGCGCTCCGAGCAAAACAACAGACTTCTCGGCATGGTTGCCACCCTCCGGCGTGACGTCACAGCGTCCCGTGCGCGTGGGTGTGTCCGTGGAATCTGAGGAGAAAGATGGCTGCGGGACGAAGGGAGAGGTTGACAAATCTGAGATTCGCTGTTTGAGGATAGACAGGTTACGGCGGAGGACGAAGCGGAAAACAGCACTCGCTTGCGTGAGTATTTTTTTGCTCAGGTTTTAACGGTCGAATCGCGCTGTGTGGTCTCGTCACCGTTAATTTCCCGCTCGGCTCGCGAGCTCAACGGACAGCGTTAAATCTGATCTGACCCGTTGCGAGCTCACTGTGCGGTTAACGGTGAAACTCCACACAGATGAGACGAGAAAAATATCACTGGCAGTGGAAGAAAATATGCGTAAGTTATACTCTATGAACCATGCTAATGTTGAAAGCGTCAAGAATTAGGTTTGATTTGTTTTATCCACTTGACATAACCACACAGAATAACGGTTTTTAACCGCTCGGTTTGTACGTTAGTTTAACGATATGTGTTTAAAACGACACATCACTGCGTTGGAATGTGTAGCGTGACACATAACTAACGTACTCGTACTGAAAGTGAGAAAGACAGAGCTGCATTGGCATAAACTTGAATAACTATGTAATTGACAGCTGTTTAGGTATTTGTAGGTCAGCTTCTTGGAATGAACCATTAAAGCGATTTTGTTGTGTTTTTTTACAGTGCTGTTATGAGTGCCTTTTGACCTGCATGATTATGGTTAATGGTGTGGTGGTTCCAGTTTTAACCTCTAAAATGTTTGTTGTCATAAGTGATGAACCCCAGGCTTCAAAATGACTGTTATGTTGTTGTGTATCCTGAGTACGTTAAGTTACTCAACACTTGGCTGTGGGGCAGGTGAGAATTATGGTGCATTATTTCAGTCCAAATCATATATAATCATGTGGTCTATCCTTTGTAACTAAACTTTTTTTAAATGGGTCAAACCTTAAGTCTGATTATGATCGTTTATTCACTCAGATGTGATGTGTGGTTGAAAACAATCTCTCATGAATATGATTATGATTATGCACTGGGTGGCAGCAATGGAAGCTGCTCCTTTGAGTTGGAATGTGTCATTCATATAAAAGCCTGTTGAGATTTTTATGAAGACTATACATGAAGTCACTGTATTTATCAATAAATGTGAGAGTTGACAGTATTCCTGGTTCCTGGATTGAATATATGCGGTGTATTTATAATAGGATATTATGGCAGAGTTATGAGTGGAAATTGAGTTTTTGAGGGGTCTGCAGAAAAGTAGTGATGCTCTAGTCTAGTAGGTTCTCAGCCTTATTTCTGTTGATAGTGTATTATTCAATGTTTAACAGGTTTTATCTTAGTATTTCATTATTTCAGGTGTAGGTGCTGGGATTCCTCTCAGCTACTAATTATTGATTACTTTTATCTAAAACAGTATTGATGATTCTCATCCTTCATCTTATTGTTACAAATTCTGTGTAAAACCCATTTTTGCAAACATTTTTACTTGGAAAAGCTGATGTCTATAATGATTAAGACCAGTGTTATTTTAGTATAATTGAGATATTATTATAGTTTTTCATTAATATTTTAATTTTTTCATGTTTTCTGTTTCATGCAATTTTTAGTTAAATATGTAGTAATTTTGTTGTGTGTTTTTGTCTTTTTTTGTATATCCATATAGTTTTTATAAATTTTTATCTCAAACTAAATGAAAATTTCTGCCTTGGCAGCTAGCTGAGTATAATATGTTTAAGTTTTTAAAATATTTTATTTCACGTCCCATTTTTTTATTGTTTTAGTTGTCTGCAGTAACTCTGATTCAATCATACTTTTGCTCCATAAAGTCTATATAATATCAGCTACTAGAGCAACATTTCTGTGCCATAAAACCATATAAGCTTTTGTGCTCTAGTGAAGATGTACTTCAGACTCTCTTCGTCTGTCTTTCTGTCTTCACCCCCTCTGCACAGACACATACACACAATTGCTGGAGTCATTTTGAGCCGTTGTGTTCAGGTTTATTTCCCTTCAGAAAATGCTGCAGCAGTCCTAAACTCATTTCAGTGTCAGAATTACTGAACTTTGAACCCTTGATGATTATAACCCAAGGAATGCGCTCGTTCTTTCTCTCTCTCTCGCTCGGTTCTGTTGTTCTCCTTATTTCCAACTGTCAGTGGTCGACACTCTCTAGTTGGATTCCAGTGAATTTAGTCATTTATAGTTTTGTATGATTCACCTTTTCCATTTTTGCCTCAATTGGCATAAATATGAAGCATGCCATAAGAGAAGTAAATGCATGGCCTAAAACTTGAGTCATAAGGAAGTATGAGCATTTGGTGGTAAAGACACGTTTCAGATGTCCTTTCTTTTAAATAACCTTGGCTCAGATTTGCAGAGTAATGTGAATCTTGTAGAAAACAGCCTTGTTTAAGCAGACTACTGTATATTTAGGGGTAGTGTGTTTTGTGCAATGTCTTGATTGAGGGTACAGTGATTATTGAAGAGCAGAACTGTTATCTTATTAACCCCTTTTCTTTTTACTTAGTGGTAAGCAGCACAGATCCATAACCATTAGGTTAGGTCCACCTCATCAGCTTAAAGAGTGCACTGATGTGAATCTAGTAATTACACTTGTATGTTTACCTGCTCCTGATCTGCTACCATTAAGACTTTACCTGTGAGCTGCCAAGACAGACACCTGGCTAATGATTTATTGACCTCAGGGCTATAAGAAAGAGAGTCCTCTCCATTTGCTTCTCTATCTCTCTCTTTTTCTCTCCACCCCTTTTTCCCCTTCTGTCACATTCTCAAACAGCCTTGCACTATAATATAGGTTGACATGCAAAGCCATTGCTATAACAATTGTTTTGTAATTGATTTAGCAGCAGTGTGTTTTATATTTAAAAAAAGTACTACAAAATTTGTATCTCTAGATATATAGTTTGTTATATGAACAAATACTGTATTTTCCAGAATATGTCACATTTTTTATCATCTACAACATGCTGGAACTTATATGATGTTCATAATATAATTAATGTTAAGCACATAAAACATGCACAAAGCACACTTGCATATTATGCATGTTATGCAGCACTGCATGTTATGCAGACCCAAATTTATTTGTATGGCACATCTTGCACATTCGATAGATTCAGCTTCACTTTAAATAAATTTGTTAAGGCTTGGCATTAATAATGAGTTAGTATAGTTAATAAAGAATACCACTTTAATTTATTTTTGTTTTATACTTATATTTTTTTATTCCTATTCTGTTCTGAATACCATTAAATTTGAAGGATTTGTTGTGGAGTGAGGGGAGTAATATACATTTATAGTTTCTATAATGTTTATAAATGCTTGTATTTTAGATGATTTCTGAATGTGACTTATATACACCAATGCAACTTATTGTTTGTTTGTTTTTTCTGGCAACAATGCAGTTTTGACCCAGTGCAACTTATTTTCCGGAAAATTTAGTAGTGTAATACTGTTTCACAAAAATTAAGTATGCAAATCTCAAATTTTGGTAAATGCTTAATTTACTGACATCACATGCTGAAATTTTACAGACAAGCTTCATGTTATATTCTATTTCATGCTGTTCTGTGCATCTAGCTGTTTTTGAATGCAAAAACATGTATGAATTGATGACTCGATCAACCAAGGGAAGGCCTGAACCACTCTTCTTACTGTTGAACCTTGGTGTTTGAGTCAGAGTAAGCAGTATGCATTTGCATTAATGACTTGTGAGTGCATGTTTATGCACATGATGCAGGTGTCTCCTCTATGTGTCCTTACTGCCTGGGAGATGATCTTTCGGTTCAGCATGATTGTCCTCACCGATGATATATTGATTCTTACAGTTACTTTCAGTTACAATTATTGAAACACTTTGCATGTACCTGTGGTGAGTCATAACTGTTTGTGTTTGTTAATGTTTTAAAAGACATATACTGTAGATGTGAATCTTGATATGCCAGTAGTGTGCATCTGTGGTGTTTGTGGTTGCAGGGTCGATAAAGAAATCACAGTGAAACACAAGGAGCTGACTGTTCTCCCTGGGGCATTAAGCAGTCAGTAAGCAGGCAGAGCTGACTGACTCTGGACTGCTCAGATAATCTCCGCTGTTTAGTCCCATTACAGCACCACTAGTTGTGTTATGCTGGAATGTTGTAGCCACTAGCCAGCAAAGCGTTTGTAAAAACTCTTTGTCTCCGTGAGTTACCAAAAATTTATCTTGGGATTTGAGAAACAGGTGAGTGACAGTGTCAATAAGGTAAGACCAGGACGAAGCACACAAATTATTCTTTACGTTGGTGTGGCAGCTAATATTATTTATAGACAGTAAGCATGGTTTATTCGCACTTCTACAAATTAATGCCTTAATCTTAGCAGAAAGTCTTAAACTCAAAAATAAATGAATATCTTCCTCAGTATTTTTTTGTTTTGTTTTCCAGTACAAATATCTAAACCTCTTTTAATCGAGACATATTTACTTGAGATGAAAATGGAACATATAAAGAAATTGACCAAAATGTAAGTGAGTTTATGCTTAAAACAAGAACAAACATCTAGGGCTGTGACGGTGGCATATTTTTACCACCGCGGTGGTAATGGACCAACTACCGTTATATATATATATAACTAGGGATGTAATGATTCACTCAACTCACGATTCGATTCACGATTGTATAGCAAAACTAAATTGAAAATTTAAAACAAGCCCCAAATCAAATAAGTAACACAAATAAAAAAAATATCTTCATACAAACAAAATAAGGCTTTATCTGTGCTCTTTCCATTTAAAATGAGAGGCAACCACTGCATTTTAATCATGATCCAAGCAAAAATGCTGCATACATGAAACATGAACAGTTTTTAATCTAAATTAGGTTGTATAATTTCGAAATTTGAAGCAAAAACAGAATGATTTGACTTCAGTTTTGAAAAAAAAGAAAAAAATACCATCTAAACTTTTCTAAAGACAGTAAGTTCCCCTCAGACATACATTCATATAAACTCCTACCCCTAAATGAATCGCGATTTGTTTAGCATCTCAACCGATTTGAATCGTCACATATTTGAATCAATTTTCAACCGGCTCGTGGCTTTTCGTTACATCCCTATATATAACTAATATTATATATATTTACATTTAAGAACATGTCTC